CTTGTTTTTCTTCTTGATCCTTTTAACATTTTTTCTTAAAAAAACTTTTTTTTAAAGACATGGAAGACACATCTCAGTGCAAGAACACGAGCACCTTCCAGCCCACCTTTTGTTGGTTGGTGAGGACTTTTCTGGAGTCTTCCCTGAGCAGCAGGGCTCCAAGCTATAGTCATTTTGATGTGACATGGAAGGCAGTGCAGGCTGCTCCATCTAAAAATAGGCAGAAGGAGTAAACAAAAACAACAAAAAACAACAACAAATAAATAAATAAAAGTAAGATGGTAAAAGAAGACTTACGCAGTATTGTAGTTGCAAATGCAGAATGTAGTTGTGACCCCAAAAGGCTGACATTAAGACCTCTTGAAAGAGTGTTACCGAGCAGAGGACCTAGCCCTGAGTGGGTCTGTCTACAGGGCTGGTAGTGTGTGGGTTCCTGACTTTGTGCAGAAAAAACTTCACAACATGAGTCCGGGTGACTATGAGAGAAAGTTTATTAAAACTGGGGACAGCAAAACAAGGAATTGTTTAGCATGGAGCAAGCAACAGGAGAGTCTAGGCAGGGCTGCCCTGCCTCCCTGGGCAGTCTTAGGGACAGATTCAGGGGATTAGCCTGGGACGAGCTGCCGCTGATCATTGTTCGCCTCTTTGCAAGTCTCGTGGGGATTCTCAGAGGGAGGAGATGTGTGCCTGTGAGGGAAGAAGAGAGGGAAGAGGGAAAAGGGAAGGGCGTGGGCTGCTCCCCAAAGGGAGAGCACTTGCTGGGTACTTTGTCTTGAGGCTTTTATCTCTTTCCAGCTGGTGGGGATCTTATGGGAGGTCTTAGGGGAGGGTTTCAGCAGAATATTCATCGGTTTTCTAGGTGTGTTTCTTCTGGATCGTGGTCTCCACTGATTGGTCAGTGTCCGGGCAGGGGGTGATTAGTCCTTGCAGCTGGTCCTGGTGTCACATGCCAGGTTTTGCTGCTTTTCTGGGCCTGGAGCTGAAATACAACTGAGGCCCAGATGCTCTCTCTAGGAAGGTGACCTTCTGTGTCTGCTATAAGTTGCTCTGCCAGTTTGTTCCTATAGTTTGAAAAAAAAATTAAAAACATATATACCTTCTGTATACATGGACAATACCCAGGAAAACTAATTCCCGAAAATAGTCCAAGTCAACACCTTCAATTCCATTTACGGCTAAAGACTAAAGAAGATGTTGGGGGAAGCAGGGAGCCAATTTTGGGAGGTAATTAGGTGTGGTTGTTATGCAGATTTGAGCCTGAGCCTTTTTTATTGGTGAGTTTCTAGATATTGAATCACCCTGTTCTACTTGGTACCTAGAGATACCCTTGCAGATGGAGATTGTCTTATAAATGCAAATGTCCCTTGCAAAAGGGCCACTTCTGCTCAGTTAGCAGAGCTCCCCCTGTGCCTGCTGTTTCTTAAAAACAACCAGCGCAAGATAATGCCCAAGAGCTATGCCCAAGAGTTATATTTTGGGGGCAGCACGTTCTGCTCCCCTTCAGCATGGAAATGATTGGAGGCATTCCAGAGCCTCTCCTGGGTTCCAAACATTGTTTCCCTGACGTTGCTGTCTACCAGTCACCCACGTGCCCCTTGGTAACAGGAAGCACTCACTCCAGTCCTTAGAGCGACCACTTTCTCTGCCTTTGGTTACGTGTTTCTGGGAGGGAGCATTCTCCCCTTGAGAATGAAGACCTCCGAGCTAGCAGATCACAAAGATGTTGGGACAGAAAGCAACAATTCCAGGAGTAGGTTATGAGGTGTATTGGCAAGAGAAGTCACTTCCACTTCTGCTCTTTGATTCCTAGACCTATAATGTGGGTCCAGGAATCAACCTGCTACCAGGTGGCTGGGTACCCTCCCCCTCCTCTCCTCCCCTTCTCCCCCTCCCAGCGCACACACACACACCTCACTGGTTAATACTACCATATTGGGGACTTAGTAGGGACTCAGCACTGATCTTTGCTGTTGACTAATTAGACACTTAATGCTTGCCTCAGCCAGGCCTGCCTTGGAAAGGGGAAGACCATGTTGTTGAGCTCCATCCCTGACACCATAGACGCTTTGTTTTGCAGAAGAAAAATGTCATCTCCTCACTGTGCACACAACTCTGGAGAATGGCTGCAGAAAGCACCGCCAGGGTTTTGCATTCTTGGCATGGCCAGAAAGAATGCGCAGAGACACTCAGGGCCCAAGATTTCCTCTCCCAACAGCACTGTGTTATTGAGAAAAACACAGGCCCCTGCAATGAATTAAACCAAATCTAAAATACAGTTTTCTGTGGAAAAACACTAGAAATTTTCACTGACATTAAGAGGTACATTACTGATGCTCCCTCCCTGCCCAGATGATACTGGTGATGAGGTCTAGCATCAGTACGTATATAGGTGTCCCCCAAAATGTATACGTTCTACAACAGCTGATAGCTCAATTTTGAAAATGAAATGTATTTTAATAAACACTGCCTTTATAAGCATTCAAAATGTGTGTATACATATTTGGGTAATATATATATATATATATATATTTCGCACCTAAGGATATATTTTTATTGATTTTTACAGAGAGAGTTGAGTCAATGGCTAAACAGAGTTAACAGTCAAAATTATTTCCATCTTTTTATTTTTATTTTTTTAAATATATTTTATTGATTTTTTACAGAGAGGAAGGGAGAGGGATAGAGAGTTAGAAACATCGATGAGAGAGAAACATCGATCAGCTGCCTCCTGCACACTCCCTACTGGGGATGTGCCCGCAACCAAGGTACATGCCCTTGACCGGAATCGAACCTGGGACCCTTCAGTCCCCAGGCCGACGCTCTATCCACAGAGCCAAACCAGTTACAGCTATTTCCATCTTTTTAAAAACAACTCATCTATGCCCTGGCATTGCCCCACTGGCTGTACCCTCTAGATGACCGTGGCAGTTCTTGGCATCATTTCCACATGTGGCAATGTCCAGAGTCACACAGGAAACCTCTTCCCTCTTATCCCTGTGTAGGACAGAAGCGCAGACACCCTGTCTTCGGAGGTGGCACTGAAAGTCTGATAATTCTACTGGGCGTTTATTGATTTATTTTTTAGCCGACATTTTATTTTATTTTTTAATACATTTTTATTGATTTCAGAGAGGAAGGGAGAGTGAGAGAGAGATAGAAACATCAATGATGAGAGAGAATCATTGATTGGCTGCCTCCTGCATGCCCCACACTGGGGATCAAGCCCACAACAAGATATGTGCCCTGACCAGAAATCAAAACCTGGCCTCCTGATTCATAAGCTGACGCTCAACTACTGAGCCACACTGGCAGGGCTAGCTGACATTTTAGAAACGGATAGCTGTGGTAAGTTTGATCAGCCTCTAAAAGAGAGGTTGCACCCAGAATATTGGCCTTCTGGTTACTGTCTGAGGTGCCTGTTGTTAAAGCTCTGTAGGATGAGTGTTCAAATGCTTGCTCCTGCCCTGCTCAGATATTTTAAGAATTGAGTTTGAAAATCAAATACAGTACAGTTACATGATCATTGCAAAGAAGCAGCTCTCAAAGTTTGGGTTTCAGGACCTCTTTATGGTCTTATAAATTATTAGGGACCTCAAAGAGCCTTAATTTAGGTTCTCTCTATTCAGTAATCATATTACACATCTAAAAGGAGAAATTTATTTAAAATAATGATGTCAATTCTGTGTTAATATAAGTATTTTTAAAGGAAAACATGTATTTTTCAAAACAAGACTTTAATGAAACTGGTGTCACTTTTTTTTGAAACATTTTTGCAAGTCTTTTCAATATCTGGCTTAAGGAAAGATAGCTGAATCCTCATTCAGTCCGCCATGCAGTCGCATAACCTGTAGCCTGGGAAACTCCACTCATCACTGTGAGAGAATGAAAATGGAAGAAGCAAAGAAAATCTTAATGTTTTTATGATAATAATTTTGACCTTGTGGATTCTCTGAGTGTCTTGGAGCCCCAGGGGTCCTCAAACCACAGAATCACTGTCTTACAGTATTTTCACTTGATATTCCTGTGCATAATTTATAATGGCTTCAAGTGGTAGCACACACAAAACAGTAGATGGTATACTAAAAGGGGGCTTATAAATCGAAATGGTTATCGGTGGAAGTGGAGTTCTTAGAGTGCCACAAATAAAATAATGTCCTGAGGCTGCCACAAGAGGATGGGGTTTCATGTAAAGCTCTACTGATGATGTGAAGTTAAGGGGGTTCCCCTTCAAGGTCCTATCTCAGCCCCTCTCACCATGGAGGAAGTCCAACTGTGTCTTTAGCAGGGCGGGAATAAAGGCCACTGCCCATAGTTTCTGCTCCATATTAAAGTCCAGTCCAGTGCAGCATCCTGTGGGTGGAGTCCGCATGGCCCTGGGTCATGTGGCTGCATAAGGCCACATGGCTATGGAGGAAGCATGGGTGAACACATGGGCAAGTGCAGGTCACAGAGCAAGCAAGAACAAGAACAAAGGCAAGAGAGAGAGAACTCTTTGTCTGGAGATTTTAACTAGTTTTTATGCACTTCTGATGGGCTCCAGCCAATTCATTGTTCCTCAGGCTAGGCTGACAAACAAGCACCTTTTGGATCCCTTTCCCCAGTGACCTGCAGGGAGTGGACCGGGGTTCCCCTGGGGAGCCTGAAGCCACAGCTTCCTGGTGAAGCTGCCCAGACGGCCATGCTTATAATGTCTAGCCTCCCCTTTGCTCTCTTCCTATTATAAATATTAATAAATTAGCTAAGTATGATTATAACAATATCTCAGAAAATGGAAATGAGTTTCAGTGGAGCAAAATGCTACAGTCCAGAAAATTGGGTAATCCAACAGAGTCTTGATGAAAACCTCAAATTATCAACAGATAATTCAGAGGTTTCCTCACTTTATCAACCCTTTTGAATCTTTAAAACATAATACGATTTACACAAAAATATACTCACTAATATATATTTTAAGAAAATATCTACTACATAAAACACATTTAATATTCTTTTTTTTTCAGACTTAACATATCAGATGATTTGAAAGTTGGCTTTTTCAGCACAGACCATGCTACTCAAACGGATTCCAGTGAAATTTTGCCATTAAAAGAGCTATGCTCATCTACACAAAAACTAGTGAAGGTAATCTGGATTAATTTGAAACTTCTGGGATGATTTTTAAAAGAATTCATTGCCTTTAGGTCTCTTTCCTTGACAGAATTGAAATGATCAAAATTTAAAAATATTAGCATCTTTTACAAACTGAGTTAGATGACAACTGTGCTTTTAAAAATTATCGATATGAACCACAACTTATATTTATGTCATATTCATGTTGTGCATATATATATATATTGTTTAATGAGATGTTTTGTTACTCTCTCTGGAATTCTTTTTACATCCGTGAACATTTGCTATGTATAATACTTTTTAAAAATTGTAAAAGGCAGAGAACAATATAATGAATAACTGTGTTACCCAACATACAGTTTTATCAAGTAGTTCCTTTGGACCCATTTTTTGGGGGGACCTTTTTTGATTGTAAGGAAATAAAGCATTTGCCCTAGCGGGTTTGGCTCAGTGGATAGAGCATCAGCCTGCAGACTGAAGGGTCCCGGGTTCCATTCCAGCCAAGGGCACATGCCTGGGAGGTTGTGGGCTCGGTCCCCAGTGTGGGGCCTGCAGGAGGCAGCCGATTAATGATTCTCTCTCATCATTGATGTTTCTATCTCTCGCTCTCTCTCCCTTCCTCTCTTAAATCAATAAAAATATATTAAAAACCAACAAACAAACAAAAAGAAATAAAACATTTCATATATATCAGACATCAAGAGTTAATATTAAAATCGCTAGTCAATAAAACTGTCACATGGGGTAGCATACTACTACTATAAATACTCTTATGTATTTTGTTTCTGTTTTTTCACTTAACAATAGAACTTGAAAATCATTGCATATTTCACAAGTACATCATATTATAAAATGCATAATTTATTTAGCTATTCCCCTATTGATGGACATTTTTTAAAAATATATTTTTATTGATTTCAGAGAGATGAAGGGAGAGAGAGATAGGAACATCAATGATGAGAGAGAATCACTAATCGGCTGCCTCCCTGGCATGTGCCTTTGACTGGAATCGAACCGGGGACTCTTCAGCCTACAGGCTGATGCTCTACCCACTGATCCAAACCAGCTAGGGCATGGACATTTTAAAAACTATGTTTTCATTGATTTCAGAGAGGAAGAGATAAGGAGAGATAGAAGTATCAATGATGAGAGAGAATCATTGATCGGCTATCTCCTGCACACCCCACACTGGGGATTGGGCCGGCAATCCCGTCATATGCCCTGACCGGGCAAACCATGACCTCCTGGTTCATAGGTATCGATGCTCAACCACTAAGCCATGCTGGCCAGACATGTGGTGTAAATTCTTAAAAGTGGAATTTCTGAGTCAGAGGATGTATGCATTAGTCGTTGTAAGGATATTGCCAAACTGTCCTGCATAAAGATTGCACCTATTTGCACTCCCACTAGTAATTTCTGAGGCTGTCCCTTTTCCTATGTAATGCCAATTTGTTGTCTTTTTTAATGCCTTCAGGAAAGTTTATAACTGTATTCTTTTGCAACTAGGGATGTCCAAACGACTAAGTTCTGATCAATAGAATTGAGATGGAAATGTTGTGTGGCAGCTTTTGGACACCTTCTTAAAGACACAGTTCACATGCACTGTCTGCCACTTTACTTCTTCCTCCTCCTCCTGCCCACCCCCTTCCTTTTCATTCTCCAGCATCTTCGAGTTGTTGGTTGTGTTTTGGTCATATTGTATCTGAGTTTATCGTCTCTATGGGAGTCTGTGGTTCAGCAGCAGTTTGACTGACCACACCCGGATCCCTGTGCCTCCTTTCTTCAGAACAAGTAGTCTATAAGGGCTGTTTGTTTGTTTTTTAACTTATTTCCTAATTAAATTTATTATTCAGGAGAGCACACCTGGGCTGATTTTTAAGACAAAATCATCTCAACTTGTTCCTGCAATTTAAGGAGTTTCTTAAGACTTCACTTGCTCTAGGATATATTTTTAACGATTCCTCAGCATAGTACCCTTTATAACAGCTGTGGGGAATCTTTTTACTGGCATGGACCATTTGGATATTTATAACATCATTTGCAGGTCATACAAAATTATCAACTTAAAAATTAGCCTGCTGTATTTGGCCGAGCATCTCATTAACTCACCCCTAGTGCCTTGGCCGGGCCAGACCACATGCTGTGTAAGTTGACAGCATGATATAAAGAGAAAGGAATATGAGTCAGTGTCTGTCCAAATCTGGGCCTCCCACTTACTGGCCACATAAAGTTAGACTAGTTAGTCACCTAACCTCTCGAAGCCTTGGTATCCTCACCTGTAAAATGACCCCTTGCACAGAGTATGAGGATGCTTAAATGAGATTCTTCCCAAGATGCTAGTACCAGGTGTCAGATTCCAAAGTGAGTGTGAGTTAGACCCCGTTTGTAGAGGTTACAAAGGAAGTGTTGCACATAAGATCAGTGACTCTTAGCTCTTGAATCAGATCAAGGGCAATAAAAAGGGGGATCAGGAGGTGAAGAGGAAAACTTGTTGAGGTGGTTTCCTAAGAAACCACTATTGCTGTGGCCTTTGTGGGGGAGAGGGTAACAGAGGTGATCTTCCTCAGCTGAGAGCGAGTAAGACAGGCTTCAACGGAACTTGAAGTGTTTGCTGCTATTGTGCTTGCTCCGTGTGTAAGGAGTTAAAGTGGGCTGTGACAACAAGATGGCATGGCTAAGTTGCGATCAGTCTACACTTCAGAGTGGTTGAGGTGAGGGATGTGTGACTATTTTCCATGGACCATATGTGGTCTATGAGAGAGAGAGAGAGAGAGAGAGAGAGAGAGAGAGAGAGAGAGAGAGAGAGGGAGAGGTTAGCTAATGTGGGGTCATTCTGGGTCCTATCCAGAGGGGTGATCTAGAAGGACAGAGGACAGCCAATAGCAGGGAGAGGGGAAAGGAGAACTCCAGATTCATAGGAGCTGAAGAAGGATTAGCAATGATTACCAGAGTAGAGAAGCATTTGCTTAGGTCAACCTGCATCCACAGGAGAGAGGGTCCTGGCCATGGGAATCTCTAGAGAAGCTATGTCAGTGCCCAAGGGAAGGAAAGTTAGTTCCCCCTACCTGCCAGTCCTGGTGACCTGCCAGCCACCCCACCAGGGAGGAGTAGCCCTGCTTCTTTATTCCTTCTGCCTTGTCCATGTTGGAGACACAGCAGCTGAGTGTGGGAGGAGAGGTGAGGGAGAGCTCAAGAGTGAATCACACTCTTTTCCTCGAAGACAGGCAGCTGCCAATGACTGTCTTTAGCTTGGAGTACAGGGAGAAGCCTTCTCTGTGAGTGAAGTTGAAGTGGTCATGTTAACTCATAGTGGTCATATCCCAAAAGCTACTTTGAGGCTGTGATTTGGGTGATGGTAGGACTTTCTATTCCTAAGGATGAACAAACAGTCATGGAATTGCCTAAAGTTTTCATTCAGGGGCAGATGACCTAGGAATATATTTTAAATGGACTGTGGAAAACAAAAATACATTGTGTTTTGGTGATCACATATCATAATTAGCCCTAGCCGGTTTTGCCCAGTGGTAAGAGCATCATCCGCCCCCCCTTCCCTCAGTCACATACCTGGGTTACAGGTTCAATCCCTGGCCCCATCAGGGCAGGAGGCAACCAATCGATGTTTCTCTTTGTGTGTCTCTCCTCTTTCCACTCTCTCTAAAAACGAAATCAATGGAAACAATATCCTCAGGTGAGGATTAACAATAAAAAACCCAAACAACACCAACAACAAAACCCAAATGGAAACTAATCAATATACTGGATATATATTTAAGTGGTTGGCTAGTGGATTCATAACAAATGTGGATTTTGCCCATCTTTTCTGATCCAAAAATCACACCTTGAGAATTATACCTTTGGGTTATAACAGAGGATTATTGCACTTTATTCTGTATGAGAGTAAATTACTAGTGTTACCTAGTGAGATAAGGAGGCCTTGGTTTTAGTCTTTTTATTTTTCTGTTAATCCTCACCCAAGGATGTTTTTCCATTGATTTTTTAGAGAGAGTGAAAGAGAAAGACAGGGAGAGAGAAACATGGATGTGAGGGAGACACATCGATTGGTTGCCTCCCACAAGTGCCCAGAACAGGACCAGAGCCAGGGATTGAGCCTGCAACTGAGGACCCTTCAGTCCGCAGCTCTATCCACTGAGCAAAACTGGCTAGGGTGGTGCTCGTCTTCTTGAAGGAAAGATTTCAATCAAGGGACAAAGTATAGAAAAGCAAGCATGAATTTACTGACCAGAGCAAAAAATATACTTAAGACAGTGAAAGAAGGAAGGGCATAGAAGAAGCTTCGGGAGAGCCTAGGCTGGGCTGCCTTGACTCGCTGGGAAGTCTGAGAAAAGGGGGCCTTGGAGACAGGTTCAGGGGGCTAGCGTGGGATGAGCTGCTGCTGCCCATTGCTCCCCTGATTTCAAGTCTTGTTGGGTCCCTTGGAGTTTAGGAGATACATGCCTGTAGGAGAAGGAGAGGGAGAAGGAATGGCACAGAGTGTTCCCCCTGAGAGAGAGCACACTGGGACCTTCATTTTCAGGGGTCTTAAAGGCTGAGCTTTTAGGGGAGGCCCTAGGGATGGGGCAATAGAATATTCGTCAGCTTTATGCTGTTGTATCAGTAGGAAATTTATTCTCTTAATTTGTTTGTCCTTGGGTGTGGTTGGCAGATGGCACTTAATTGGGTTTCTGTTATTGAGTTTTCCTGAATAGGGTGATTTAACCCTCTGGTTGGGAAGAAGTATCCTTGGTTTAGGGAAGATAGGATTTACTAGGTGGCTGCAAACTGCTGTTTAATTATCTTAGTTTCCCTATTCCACTTGTCCCAGAATTTTCCTAGTCTCTTATTATGTTATAACACTAGGAACCTCTTCTCCCTTATTCCATTAGTAGATTAATTGGAATTCCCAATATAAAGAGTATTTGACAGATAATCTTAAAAGGCAGGACAATCCCCTGACCAGGTACCCAGGTTGTATGCCCAGAACCAGGCATGGCGTCACAATCCTTTACTCCCTACAATAATTATGTTTTTCTATTTTTAGATTATTAGATCCCTTCAGGTAGATTTTGGGTTCCTGAAACAATTGCTTCAGTTGAAGTTTGAGGACCGTATTAAAGAGGAGTCTTTCAATCTCTTTGCTGTTCTACATGACAGGATCCTAACAGTCGAAAGACATTATCAACAGGTAGAATTTCTCTAATTTCCTTTGTGTGTTTTTTTGTTGTTGTTTGTTTCATTAGTGATGGTATCTTTCATTGTTATCCTAATAGAGCTGGTTAAATTATTTGATTAATCAGAAAATAAGTAGTTTATGGATTAGTGACTCTAGATTTTTTTTACAAGAGTTTGTCTGATTCAAAAAGTAGAAGGAGCAAAAGAGGATATGAATTGATAATAGATTTTACTACTTTTAAAAAATATGTTTTTATTGATTTTTAGAGAGAAAGGAAGGGAGAGAGATAGATAGAAACATCATGAGATGAGACACATCATCATTCAGCTGCCTCCTGCACGCCCCCTACTGGGCATAGAGTCTGCATCCCTGACATGTGCTCTGACAGGGAACCAAACCCATGACCTCTTGCTTCCTAGTTCAAGACTCAACTGCTGACCCATACTGGCTGGACAGATTTCACTACTTTTAAAAGCAGTTATAGGAAAACACGAAAAAGACTTTGATATGTAAAATGAAATAAAATCTTCAAATTATCCAGAGGTACGCTATTGCTTTTGGTTAAGTGTAAGTAAAAATGGAATGTGCTATAAGAGCTATAGCATAAAAGAAATAATAATAAAATGAAGTTCTTAAGAGACTGTGATGATCTGAATGATTTTATACTGAGCTCCTCCCTAGTAGGTGTAAGAGTTGTTTTTGGAAATACATAATGGTGCTCCCTGTACTTATTTCTGGTTTGCAGAATGAAGAATTAATAAGAAAATGTTGCCATCAGCAGTTGGCAGATGCCATAGCTGTAGTCCGAGGAATGTACAAGGTAGGTCTTAGGGCGGTCCTGGGCAAGACCAGCTTTATATCTTGGAAGTGCATATAGTGGGGCTCACTTTGACTTCCCAGTCTGAGTTATGTCAATGTGAAAAAGTTCAAACCTGTAGATAGTTTTTATAAGGGTTTATTTGAGCAAAACTGATGACATATGCCAGGGAAGTAAGATCTCAAATGCTCTGCAGCAAAACAGTTTTGCAACTTCATTGCATTTATTGGAGGTGAGAAAAAGCAAGGTGGGGATTGGATTGCAGGATAGTTAACAAGATTATGTGCTTTCTTGAGGATGATTAAAGTTTACTTCAAAGGTGTGTTAACCTAAATGCACAGAAACAATGGACAGAGCTTGCTTAAGTTATAAAAGCCTGGGGCATGACTACCCGCTATGACCTGCCCAGTTAGGAATTTATGATTAGATCACCCTGTGAGGTTACTTTCCGTGAAACCCCTTTTGTTGTCCAGTTTTTACCTTTAAAGATCTGTTTTCTCAATTTTCAGGCTCTGGAAGAGGGATTAGGCCTAAGATTGTTCATGTTCACATTAAATTTAACAAAACAACGCTTTATGGTAGCAGGTAAAACTTTTCAGAGACTGGAGAAATCCAATCTGTTATCCCAAGTGCCTGGACAGGTGATGAGTAATCCAGATTATGTGGTGAGCACGCAGTTGGACAGAAGCAGGTCAGATGGTCTTAAGAGAGAGTTCATTGGGCCATAGCAAATCCCAGTGAACAGTCTCTGACTCTTGATGGAGTAACTTTTCTAACGACAAGGACACTCACTGTCTGCCAGACTGCTTCACGCCCTGACGTAATGGAAAAATCATAATTTTCAATGATCACTTTTTAGGTTTAGTAAAGACCTTGTACCTCTTATGGTAGTTATTAATCTTTTCTTTCATTTCAATAGGATTCTATAAAGAAACATTTATTTGCAGCAAATTGTGCATTTCTCATAGCACAACACATTTGTGTTTAATTGTATAATGGCTTGTTATAAATCTCTGTTCTGTGCCAGACTGTAAGCCTTATGAGGGCCAGATGTGGTCTGTCTTACTCACTGCTATGCCCTGCCTCTTAGCAGTGTGCCTGGTATGTAATTAGCAATCAGCTCAAAATGGCATATAGGCCTTGATTGCCCAATTTGCCCTCTGGTCTCATACTCTTATGGGACTTCCATATGTACATGTGTAATAAACTGGCTATTTTCTCTTAAATAACTTAAGAAGAATTGCAAATGAATGGACGGTTGCCTATATTTGTGGCAGATGCTGGTCACTCAGCAGTCATTTTCCCTCCTCCATTTATTTACTTATTTATTTATTTATGTATTTATTTATTTATGTATTTATGTATGTATGTATGTATGTATGTATGTATTTAAATCTTTATTGTTGAAAATAATACATATGTCTCCCCTTTCCCCCCGTTGATCCCTACCCCCACCCCACCCCCAACCCCCTCCCAGGCCTTCACCACTCTATTGTCTGTGTCCCTGGGTTATGCATATATGCATATCAGTTCTTTGCATATATGATCACCTTTATCCCCCCTCTCCTCCTTCCCCTCCCTTCCCTTTGAGATTCTGCACTCTGAATCTCCTTTTTTTTTTTTTAAATTAGCAGAAGCCCTTCTTACTGTACAAGACAAAATGCTAGATCATTTCTTTCTCATCTTCCTTTTCAGCTATGGTACACTCATGGACAAAGTCAGGTGTCCGTGGACCTGAAGGTAAGTTGGCTGTGACATTTGGGAGCAGGTTGTTTTCTCTAGTTAAAGGAGACTCATGGGAGGAAATACCCTTCCTTTTCCTTTGTGTGACCTTGTTACATCTCCTTCTGATGCTTGGAATTGATGCAGCCAACCTAAAACCAAGGACTGAGACATTCACACCAACAAGCAATTTCTTAAATACATTTGTGGGATAGATGACTCCTTTGGGTGTGCTAAGGACGGCAGAGTGGAAGACTGCTCTGTCAACATTCTCTGAGCCTATGCCCAACCGTGTTTCCAAAGACGGTCTCGACACTATCTTCCCGCACCTGCTCTTCTGCAATGCTACCTGGCTCCTCCCCCACCAGAGGTGGAGCATAACCCCCTCCCCAGAATCCCGCTGGACCCAGTGACTTGTCCTAAGCACAGAACGTGGAGGAAGTGAGGCTGCACGACTTGGGAGGCCAGGTTGCAAGAAGCCTTGCAATGTATTCGTATACCTTTGGAATGTTTGCTCTCCGGATTCCCCTTTCTGATTCCAGCAGCCATGGTGTGAGAATCTCTAGCTATTTTGAGGGTCTACATGGGGGTGCTGGGTGCACAGGCCCAGCTGAGTCCAGCCTTTAAGTCATCCAGTCTCCAACCATTCATTTTTCCCATCCAGACATTATGAAGCAGAGAGAAGCCACCTGTGGTGCCTGCCCTAATCCCCTGACCCACAGTGTTCATGAACATACTAAATAATTGTTTAAGCTGATAGGTTTGGGGAGATGTGTTATGCAGCAATAAATAGATAGTTGGAACAGTATCCTTACATTCACATCAACATGCAGTGTCTTAAGTACATTTGTTGGATAGATTATTCTCTAATGGTTCTGGCAGAACAGTTACAGCATTGTGGTTGACAGCATGATGTAAGTTTTAGAAAAAGGACTCTGAAGTCAGACCACGTGGGTTCAAATCCTGACCTTGCACTTAATTGCTATGTGACCTCAGGCAAAGTATTGACTCTGTCTACCTCAGTTTCCTTATCTGTCAAATGAGGATCACAAAAGTACCTGCCTGATAGGCCTGTTCTGAGGATGAAATGAATTGATCTTTGGGGAGCACTTAAAGAGTGCCTGGCACATCATATTCCATTATTAGCATTTGTTAAATAAACACTTCCACATATTCATAGCACTCCTTGGTGTTGGGATCTTTTTCTGTCCCTTAATTATTCTATCTTAGTTTTTAAGTGTGTAGCTTTCTGTCTCTTGACTGCAGATTTCAGATATGATAAAGTGCCCTTAAGACATCTGTCATTATTATCACATTTTATTATCGACCCTTATGATATTGACACTTTGGGAGCCAAAAAGGTCAAATGTCAGCAATTTCATAAAAGTGATGACAGCAAGCATACTTACTTTATATCTACTCTTACAGGGAATGACTACAGTGTTTCAACATTATGCATAATACTTGCTGTAGATACTCCCTGGCTATTTCTTTTGCGAAGAGACTTTTAAAGAAAATCATGACTACATTTCTGTTTTATGAAATGTGAGTTTTATGCATCTACTAAGAGGCCATATGATTTTTTTCCTTAACCTATTTATAATTAATACTGTGGTGAAATGAATTTATTTTTTTTAATGTTAAATCAACCTTTCTTGGTATAAGCCCAACTTAGTCATAATATGTCTTTTTTATTAATTTTTAAAATTGATTTTAGAGAGAGAGAAAAAAGGAGAGGGAGAGAGAGAGAGAAACATCAGTTTGGTGTTCCACTTATTTATGCATTCATTGGTTGATAATTCTATGTTCCCTGACTCCAAAACCTTGGTGTATGGGGACAATGCTCTAACCAACTGAGCTACCTGGCCAGGGCTTTAAACACACACACACACACACACACACACACACACACACACACACACACTTTGAGTTTAATGTGTTAGTATTTTGCTTAGGATATTTTAAATCTACATTTATTAGTGAGGTCACTTCACTTTCAACCCCCCCCACACACACACACACCCGCCCGTCTTTATTGGGTTTGTTGTCAGGGTTCTGACAGCTTCACAAAATGAGTTGGGGATGTTATGCCCATTTTGTTCTTTGGGAGTATTTGTGTAAGATTAGAAATTTTTCTGCCAGAGGAGCCAGCTGGGCCTGGATAGATTGATTGATTGACATAGTTTGGACTTATTCAATTTCCTTAAAGGTTATAAGGCTAGTTGGGTTTTCTATTCCTTTTGATTTAGATATACTGAGACATTTGTCCAGGGCCTTGTCTGTTTCATTTAAACTCAAAAATTTGTTGGAATAAAGGCTTAATAATATATGCCTTGTTGCTGTCCTATATTTAAAACCCACTCCATATTTTTTATTACTATTTTATTCATTTTTACGGAGTTTTTAAATATCACTTATGCTTTTTATGACTAGGAATTCTATTTGACTCTCTATGCTTGGTTGTTTAATTTTTGTTTTTATGGCTCTTATTCTTTGCTCATAATTTCAGTGTGGTTATTTCTAAAAACATTTTTAAATATTTTTGATTTATATTCTGTGTTTCACAATTTCCATAACTTCCATCTTTGAGGGTCTGATAATGCTGGCTGTCATTCATGATATGTCTTTTACTTTTGGGTTTCATGATTTTTGTGAACTCATATTTTTGTGGGAATTTCTTGGAGGCCTAGAATAGAAGTGAGTTATAGTTTAGAGAATATTTATATTTGCCTTTGTGAGACTCCTGAATCTGTAACCGTTTTAAGCTAATCCTCAATCTGAGGTATTTTAAACCACCCAGAGGAATGAAGTTGGGCCGCAAAACTGTGTGGGCCATCTTATGCTTATAAAACGCAAGAGATTTTCCCCTCCCTATATTTGGACCCAGGTTTCCAACAGAGGCAATTTCACTTTCAGTGGAGTAGGAGGGGTACAGCATCCAAGGTGGTTACTTCTAGTTTGTTTTTACATCGAAATGGTGGCCCTTAGGTGTCTCAGTCTTACTTAGAGCTGACATGCTGAGGAGGACCCGGGTAATTTTTCTTCTCTGTGCCTGTAAAGAGGTGTAAACTAAAGTTGAAATTTACTTGGTTTAGTGATGCTCGAAGGCCAGTTTCTGTCAATGTTCATACTTCCCTGGATTTCTACATCCACTTAATTTTGGCCTTAGCATCCCTTACTTTGTCAGCTTCTAGGCGCATTTTACTAATCTTACCCAGAATTTTTGTTGTTTACAGTGGGAGGGTAAATCAGAGTTCCATGAATTTTTGAATATGCTTTCG